TATTTTGTTCTGTAAGCCTTCATCTTAAGTGAGAATAACAGCACAATTGGAAGAGCATAGTCAATGTCACTGAACTGTGCATGTAGAAATTTATGAAATGGTGTATCTTTTGCTATGTATATTTTCACCCAAAAAAAAAAGGTTGAGAAGTTAGAGGGTTGACATGTTGTGGGGTTGTTAACCAATGTCATAAAACAATATGTGTAAAAAAAAGAAAAAATACCCTATGGGCAAAAAGTGACATCGAATGTGGATGTAGACAGCACAGCACAAGCAAAATAAAAACAAGTCTTGGAGCACATATGGATGAGTATGAGCAAATTGGTATATGAGTAGGTATAGGTGTGTACATAGGTAAGAAAAATAGAAGTATCTATAAAACCGAAACCAAAACCAAACCCATTGCCATCGAGTTGTTTCTGACGCATAGCATCCCTATAGGGCAGAGTACAGCTGCCCCATAGGGTTTCCAAGGAGCAGCTGGTGGATTCAAACTGCTGACCTTTTGGTTAGCAGCCAAACACTTAACCACAGTGCCACGAGGGCTTCAGAAGTATCTATAGGTATGTGCAAATACAATTATGTGGGTGCAGGCACATATATTCATTGAAGACACAAATATGGATACTCCTCTGACATAACCAAATACCTTCTAACATTGGTTTTCTGGGTTTGAAGGCTTAGGACCATAGTCTCCTGAGACAAGTCAGTCAGTTGGCATACAATAGTTCACAAAAATCATGATCTACATCCTAGTGAAGTGAGTAGCATCTGGGATCTTAAAAGCTTGCGGGTGGCCATCTAAGACACAACTATGGGTCTCTACTCATGAGGAGCAAAACAGTAAGATAGTAACCGAAAGTTCAGAGAAGAAACAAGTCTATAAAAGCCATGACCTGATTTACTCTGAGACCAGAAGAACTAGATGGTGCCCAGCTGCCACCACTGATCATTCTGACCAGGGACGTAATAGTTGATCCTGGATAGAATGGGAGAAAAATATGAAGCAGAACTCAAATGCCTATTAAAAAAAAGAAAAGAAAAGCCACACAAACTGAAACAGTAGAGAACAGAGGACTCCCTGAGACTGTTGCCCTGAGACACTCTTTAAAGCTACAATTGAGCCTATCCCCAGAGATCACCTTTTAGAGAAATAGCAGAGTGACACACAAAGTAAAGGTTATTACCCATAAGATTGGTGCCCTACTTAAAAACTTTCAGTTTGTGATCAAAAGATGAACAACTACTTAAAAGCAAAGATGAGAAGATAGAGAGGCAGGAAAGCTAGAGTACTGAAGAGGAACAAACTGAACACAGAGAATGCTGACATATTGTGATAAATGTAACTAATGTCACCGAACAATCTGTGTGAAAATTGTCAAATGGAACCTAACTTGTTGTGTAAACTTACACCAAAAACTCAATAAAATACTATTAAAAAACAAAAAGCCAAACAAAACCCTATGGGTACAGTTCTACTCTGACACACATGGGGTTGCCATGAGTCAGAATCAAGTCCACGACAACTGGGTGTTTTTTGTTGGTGAGGAACAGGTGGCACAGATGTGCCCCAGAATATGGTCCAGCAACTTCCCAAGAACCTCTTGGAAACCTGCTTTAGACCTCCCAAGTCTGAATTGCACCCCAAATCTTGAAACATACACCAGAAGGCTTCCCTCCCAGAATGATCCTGAAGGCACACAGTTGTGCATAAAGAATGAGGGTGACAGTTACTTTGTTCCTTTTCTACATTGGAATACAGTTTCCTAAAGGTTTACTCATTTAAATGAAAGGCTCTAAGTGTCATTACCGACACATCTGGCTGATCTTACTTGAGAGTAGAATTCGCATAGTTCCTGAAGCAGAGTTTCTGAGGCCGGATCTGCTGCTGGGCTTAGAACCCTCCTGGCATAAAAACTCACCAGAAATGAAGGCCTCAGGCTCACTTTGTTTGTCGCCACTGACAAGGAAGATCTCTTAGACTTTTCTTGGCAAATTGTTTCTTTTTCCAGTAGTGTTTTTTTAAGATATTTTTTTCTTTATATTTGACTTTTTTTTTACTTTTTAAAATGAGGACTTGATAGGAATCCTTGCACCATTAGTTTTTGTGGATTACATTTCCATCAAGTCTGCCAATATATCTGTAATAGTCTTGTACCCTTCTGATATCCCTGTGTGAAGTCATTATCCAACAACTTACCATAGGTGGTAACCTTGCAAAAAAAACAAAAAATCCAACTTGAGCCTTATTAATGAAAAATGTGGTTTAAATTGAATGGACAACTTCAATTTACAGTCATTTCAGAAACATATTCAATATTTAAGACTTGCTAAGTGATTACCAGAGCCCTGGTGGTGCAGCGGTTAAGAGCTATGGCTGCTAACCAAAAGGTTGGCAGTTCGAATCTACCAGCTGCTCCTAGAACCCTATGAGGCAGTTCTGCTCTGTCCTGTAGGGTAGCTATGAGTTGGAACCGACTCAACAGCACCTAACAACAACAAAGTGTGATTACCATTCATTGTAAATTTATTTGCAATTCTTGGAGAAGTGATACTCAAATACTATAAAATTAATATCCTGGAGGTTTTAAATACATGGACTTATCTCTGGAGAGCAAGGGTGGCAATGCAATCATATGGTGAGATCTGTGCATTTGTCTTACCTTGTTTGTTATTTTTGAACGTTTGTTATGCTCAAAGCTATTTTTAATTTAAAAGAAGTGCGTGAGTGGGCAGGGAACAGATGTCCCAGCTCTACCACATGGAAACGTCTAAGAAACCTAAATGGACTTACTAATTCAGGAAATGGCATAAGTAGGGTTGAGAATTACTCTGTGAATCCCAAAACATCTCCTGCTGTTTTGGATAATGAAGTTGTAGGAGATGGCTGGTTTGTTGTTAAGGAGAAGAAGGGAATTAAACACTCCCTCCAGCTGTTCTTATCTAAGAAAGTGATTCTTATAGGGAGGAAAATTACTTCTTTTCCAAAAATAAAGTAAATATGAGAAGAGTTGTTTCAATTACAGAACCTTTTAGGAACTCTATAGGGGCCCTGGTGGCACAGTGGTTAAAGCACTCAGTTGCTGTCTGCAAGGTCAGCAGTTCAGACCCACCAGCAACACTCTGCAAAAGAGCAATGTGGCAGTCTTCTTCCATAAAGATTTATAGCCTTGGAAACTCTATGGGGCACTTGTGCTGTACCCTGTAGGGTTGCTATGAGTGGAATCGACCCAATGGCAGTGGGTTTGGTTTTTGTTTTTTATAGTGGCTATAGAAATATTAAACATTTTAGAAAATGTTGTTTCTAATGTCGACATTCTCTATCATAGCACTGTTCCCCTGGGAGCAGATCAGATTCTTCTGCGAGGAGCTCAGCTGAGAAATACACAGTGGGTCCATGGAATAGTTGTCTACACTGGACATGACACCAAGCTGATGCAGGTGGGCTTGTTATCTGTGAAAACCTTTTGGGTGTAAGTCTTTTGAAAATGTGCTGTTGGTAGCTCTCAGTGCAGTAGTCCCATACATAGCAGATCATTTGTCACAGATTCCTGAGCCCCACCCTGTACATCCAGAATCTGCTTTTCAGATGAGTGGGGCCCAGAAGTTAACCTCTCTACAAGAAATGGCTCAGTGCACACAGGAATGCCAGAAAGTTTCACCAGAGGTCACCCGATGCATGAATTCTTTGTGTATGGGCCTATCGACAGCATTTACTGAATATTGCCATGAATTTAAATTGTCTAACTATGAGTGCTGTGCATTAAAGTATTTCGTCTTGGATTTTTCTTTTAATACAATGATTAAAATTTGACATTTTCATAAAATTTAAAAAAAACTAACTTGTGAATCAAGCACTGACCATTTTTTGCAGCCTTTAAAATGTTTGTTTACATAAAAAATAAGGTCATTTTCACCAGCAACTTTAATCCTAGCACTTGTAATGTTTATACACAGCTGTGGGTGCTTCTTCTCTACCTTATAATATAATCAGCGTTCATTGGTGAGGTGAGTATGGGAAACTCAGTTTTCAGATACTAAATGAAAATGTGTTCTGAGAGCTAATAACTTTGTACATTATAACAGCACAAAGTTGTTAGCATAAGGCAACCAGGACCGATGTTAATGATTCCACCCCTAGCCCTTCTTTAAGTTCTATAAATCATCACTTTATATAAATTAATAGATTTAATTTTCTATCCTGTATATGACTTGGTAAGGAGCCCCAGTGGTGCAGTGGTTAAAGCGCTCGGCCGCTAACTAAAAGGTCTGCAGTTCAAACCCACCAGCTGCTCCGCAGAAGAAAGATGTGACAATCTGCTTCCACAAACATTACAGCATTGGAAACCCTATGGGGCAGTTCTACTCTGTCCTGTAGGGTCACTTTGAGTTGAAATCGACTCGACGGCAGTGTGTTTATATGACTGGGTTAGCATACATCTAACAAAACTGTTTGATCACCAGATACAAATGAGGAAACTTGCCTCTTTTATTCTTTATAACCAGGACTACTTGTATTGCTGCTGTGTCCAGTAAAACAATTGCTACATGCCACCAGAAATTTGAAAAACAGAGATCCTTTCAGTGTTGCGTGTGTGCTCTGGCATTTCCAGGCCTCTGGCTATGGGGTCCGCAGGCATGTCTGACTGCCTCTTTTCTCAAGCTGAGAAGCTAGATGCTTCCCGTCTGACCTTGTTTGTGTCAGCAGTCAAGTAATGCATTGTCATCTTACCTGACACAGTGCAAAAACTGTGTCTACAAAAGGAATGTTATTTGCTGCTTCTTTCTTGTTTTGCTTTCTTAAAAAGGCTGGAGTGGTACAGTGGTCTTAAGAAAAAGAAGTGGTGGCATGACACTACTTATAAAGACAATGCTCTACATTCTACCTTGGTGAGTAGTGTCTGGGGTCTTAAAAGCCTGTGAG